GAACTTCCTCAGGATGTGACCCATCAGTCTCTTACCTGTTGATGCTGATGGTGGCAAACTGCTCTCCAATGTCCTCATCGACAGTTAGGGAGGCTGGCTCCTCATCGCCCAGTCTGTAGACCCACTGCACTTTGTGGTCCTTGAGCACGATGCCCAGGTAGTCTCCAGTGGCCTGAAGGCAGGGAGAGACAGAGCCACACGTTGCCATTTGGGGACAGGCAGGAGCATCAAGCGATGTTCTCCCCGATGCTCCCAGGGCTGCACTGGCCAAGCACCCCCATGGCACTTGTTCTCCTCATCCTCCTCCAGCCAGGCTGATGGGCCAGGGCCCCACCCAGGGCCTGTTCCTGTTCCCCACAAAGACACTCGGGGAGCAGGTGAAGGATGAGGGACTGACATCCAGGTGTGACCCCATGAGCTCCTGCTGCCCTCCTCCTTCCTGCACAGCCCCATCTCACCTCCCGGCTGCCCAGGTACAACACGAATCTCCCCTCCTCTGTCCCATCCTGCCGTCGCTGCCGGCTCCTGGGCTCGGGATTTTGGATGTAGAATTTGAGGGATGTATAAGCTGCCAAATCCTGCAGGTTGCTGGGCATCCGGACCTGCACACCTGAGCTGCCGTTGAACTTCATGGGGACTTTCACCTGGAGGGAGAGAAATCCAAACCCACGGCACTGAAACCACAGCTGCTGCCTCTCTTGTCATTGAGCTCTACCAACTCCAAACAGCTTTTTGGAGTCTTCCCACTCTGCCTGGAGGCCCCAGAGCTCTTCTAGATACACCTCCCATTTGTGTTCTGCCCTCAGGTAAGCCCTAGTTCACCCCAAGCCCCTGGCACCCCAAGCATGAGCCCACCTTGCTGGCGGCGTTCCTCGCCTGCGTGATGAGCTGCCGGATCCGCACGATGTTCTCTGACACGGTGGCATTCTTGTTCCTCCTGTTCTCCAGGCTGCTCAGCTTCCCCAGCAGCAGTGGGATGGTGCTTTCCAGGCTGGACACTGGGGTTGGAGAAGAACCAGAGGTTTTGAAGGTTAGTGAGGAAGGGAGATGTAAAGCTCAGGCAGTTATGAGACATGCAAGTCAAGGCAGTGGCAGCTGAGAGCAGAGTCACAGAACGATCCCCTACATCCAGCAGCCTTGGTGGGGGTTGGGAAAATGCTCTAGTACGTGCAACCTCCTGCAGTAAAGGTGTGAGGTGATACAGACACTGCAGGGAGAGAAAAAAATTAAGGCACAGGACATAAAGAACCCAGTGTTGGCTGCTACCTCCTTCTACTCTTGACCTGGAGCTTCCAAAAGCACAGAGCTCTCTGGGGACATCTGTCCATGCACTGGCTCATGCCAGACTCAGCCCTGGCAGCCCAGCAGGTTCAGCACTCACCCGTTTTCCTGGCATCCTGTACTGCCTGGTTCAGGTCTTCATTTCGAAGCCCTCCATACTTGTCTTTCCATTCATCCAGATTCTTCTTCATGGTGCTCAGGGTATCTCCCACTCTTGCAGCTGTTTCATTGGCCTCAGCAGCTGCTGCTTTGGCATTCTGGATTGTCTCTTTTGTGTCCTCTGGAAAGAAAGGAGAGAAATCTCTGGGATGGTCAGGAGTAGGGAGGAAGCACCCTTGGGTCACAGCCCGGCCACAAGGAGTGGAGCAGACAAAACCAGTCTAGCTACCCCAGGACAAACCTTGGTCCCTGCCCAGCATGTCCTGCACAGACTGGAGCTGGCTCAGGAGCTGCTCCTTCCTCACACGGAGGTCAGCCAGCTTGTCCTTCGCTGTCTGCAGAGTGCCTTTAATAGCTGCAATTAAAGACATGCATATGTTGTGCACCAGATCTCAGTCCAGTCTGAAGGACATCACACCCTGCAAGGAGCCTCTCTCACCTCCGTTGAGTTTTCTCTGCTCTCTCCTCACAGCCTCTTCCAGGTTGCTGCTGTTCCTCTTCAGCTCTTTAGAGATGGCCCCAAGATTTTCTGAGATGACATTCTGTAAAACAAACATGTGCTGCTTGGGAGTCTGAAGAGGAATTCCAGTCTCCAGCCCTGACTCCACATAAAAATGCTCATTCAGACAACTGCAGTGGGGTGGTGTGATGGGGAGACCCAAACCCCCAGAATCTGGCCCCAGCTGTGGCAGAAGCTCTGCTCTCCAGCACAGAACAACGTGCTCAGGTCTCAGGGAAAGGGCAGCAGAGCCCTGCGTGTGGGTGTGAAAAGCTGGAGAACTGTTGAGGGAGTTTGGCTTCTGCTCATCTTCTCAGGGCTCCCCACAGCACGTACCATCAGAGCCTCGCTGGCTGCCTCATCAGCATCGTGGGCTGCTCGCTCGGCTTTTTTCACAGCTTCAATGATGCTGGCGTAGGCGTTGGAGGCATCGATTGCTCGCTGGATAAAGCCATCCTGGTTTGTGCCCTGGATAATGCTGTGTTGGAAGATGAAGTCATCAAGTTCAGAGAGACCACTCAGGCTGGACTCTTGCCCGTGCCCACTCAGACAAACCCCTTTGGTTTCCGCATCACAACATGTTCTCCAGGATCAAGCTTTGGAGACAGCACTCCACTGCTGCCCTACCATGGCATGGGGCTGAAGTTTCCCATCCCCAGCTCTAGTATGAGATGACTTGATGTATCAGGACTGGAGCCTCACCTGGACAAGTTCCTTGCAAGCTCATCCAGGAGCCGGGCATGCTCCTCAGCCTGCTCCACGATGGGGATCTTGCTGCTGGCTGGGGAGAACTTCTTAACCCTCTCAGTCAGGGGCAGCTTTGCCCCATCCAGCAAGGCCGCCAGCTTCTCGTACGCCTGCAAGGACACACATCACTCCTGAGGGCTGCCAACCCCTCACACTCTGCCCATGCCAAAGTACCTCCATCACCCACCTCCTTTGCACTCTCCATCTTCTGTAGGAAGTCTGAGACCTGGGCCAGGGAGTCCTTGGCCATCCTCAGGGTCTCCTGCACCAGTGTGTGCTGCTTTTGGAGTTCACGGCTCTTTTGCTAGACACACAGATCAGGGTTAGGCACTGGCAGGGCCAGGCTGGGCCCCCCCTCCCCGTATGGCAGTACGGGACCACCTGGGGAAGGTCTACCTGACTCTCCTCCAGGTTGTTGCGGTTCAGGCTGTTCAACTCTTCTGTCTGTCTGGTTTTGTTCACAGCCTCATTGAGGGCATCGCGGAGATCCATCAGCTGGGAGCTGTGCTGTGCCAGCCGGTCCCGGATGCTGCTCACCAGGTCCTGGTTGGACTCCCAGCGGGCATGCAGCTCATTCTTCACCCGATGGAGCACTGAGGATGGAGGAGACAAGAACTGTTGGTAATTCATCCTCCCATGTCAAAGGGCTCTCTCTGTGCTTGGCTGTGGAAAATCTTGGTTCTGGTCTCACTTGGTAGGTATCAAGGCCATAAGTGACCCATCTTCCTTGCCTCCTTCTTTCAGCCTGGATAGTGCAGGATCTCACCCAAAATTGTCTCCAAACCCCCTAGTGCTGGTGAGAGGGATGGGATCTCTTTCAGAAAGACACCCAGCCATGCCTGAAAGGCTCCAGATGATGGAGAAACCCCACCTGAGGCCTGTCCCAGGACTTGATTACTCCCACTGTGAAAAATTACTTATTTCTAGCAAGGGCCAGTTTATAATTCCAGCTTTCAGCTGCTGAGCTGTGTTTTGCCACTGCCTGGTACTCAGTGCCAGCGTGCCTGGGGGGGCAGTGGGGCTTTGTGTGAGAGCACAATCCAAGCCCTTGCTCCTGCAAGGGATGTCCTCAGGATGGCAGAGCTACTGAGGGTGGTGAGCTGCTGGTTGTCACTCTGGATCTCTTTCCTGGGACAGTGAATATGAAGAAACACAGAGTGACTTACTCACATCCACATGTGATGTGTACATAATCATGGTAACTCCTGGTTCTAAGGGTTGTCATTTTTGGTTATCAAACAGAACTACCTTAGCTAGAACAATCTGCTCCAAAACTCACCTTAAGGGAAAAGGAACCATAAATGGAGCATCACAGGGGACCCTAAAACTACTGTAAAACTTATTAGGGGTGCCTGTTCTATTGGACTTCATGAACTCAAAGGTCTTGTCCAACCAAACAATTCTATGGTTAACTGCACTCTCCAAATGTGACCATGACGTGTTCCCGTGGGCTCCAAGCCAGGCTGTGAGGAAGGGCTACATCCAGCAGGATCTGTGCAGCCCTGTCCCACGCCACCGAGCCAGACTCACACTTCTGAGCCTCATCGTGCTCGCGCTTTGCCAGCTCCTCCTGGCTGCCCAGACTCCGCTCCTTCATCTCCCTCAGCATTCTTTCCACCTCGGCCATCTTCTGACGAAAATCCTCAGTGGAGGTGGTGCTGGCGTTTGCTGCCCCAAACCTGGCCATCTGCCTCACCAAGTCTGCAGAGAAACCCAGATCCCCCGTTAGCACTGACCAACCCAGGGTCCTTCAACCTCAACAAGCCACAGCCAGCTTTCATGCAGCACTCAGGCACCCTATTGCTTGAGATCACTCAGAGGTCCTGCCCCACCCTGCTGTCTCCTTGGCCATCACAGTAACACATGCTACATCTCAGGCATCTTGTTGTGGCTTTACCTCCTTCTCCTAGATCCAGCCACTCCCTGTTTTGCTAAATCTCTCCTGAAGCAGCAATGCAGATTTATGCATTTTAACAACATTTAGGCAAGTTTAATGTGGGGGTTTTTTTCCCAAAGATTGTGTTTAGCCAAAGAGCTGGTGCTCACAAGAAGCCTGGTCTACCTGAACAGCCAGAATTCTGCAGGGATCTCCATTTCATCTCTATTCCCCCTTGTTTCCTCCACAGCTCTAAGTGATGCAGTACCCAGTGCCACCCAGAGCATGGCATTCCCAGCAGGACAAACCCACAAAGCAGAGACTCTTCCTTCCCTACCTGCAATGCCTTTCTGAATGCTTTGGATATTGAGCAGGAGCTGCTCTCCCCTCTGGTAGGTCTCTCTCGTGTGCTGCTCAATCCGGTTTGCTTCTCTGTGAGTCATTGTCATCTACAATAAAAAAACACTGGCTT